AATGGTCCTACAAAAAAGCACATGGGTGTTGCAAGAAGGGTTCTAAGATATGTGCAAGGGACTCTTAGCTATGGCATTGAATATGTGAGAAATCAGTCAGCAACTCTTGTTGGATTCTGTGATGCAAATTGGGCAGGCAGTGAGGATGATAGTAGAAGCACTTCTGGCTATGCATTTAGCTTTGGAAGTGGAGCATTCTCTTGGGCCTCTGTGAAACAAAACACAGTGGCACTATCAACAGCAGAAGCTGAGTATGTCTCAGCATCTGAAGCAACAGCACAGACCATTTGGCTAAGATTTGTTCTTGATGATTTTGGTGAAATGCAATCTGAGGCAACACCTTTGTTCTGTGACAATATGTCAGCAATTTCAATGGCCAAGAACCCAGTTTTTCATCAAAGAACTAGGCACATAAACAGAAGATACCATTTCATAAGAGAAGCTTTGCAAGAAGGTGTGATCAATATGCAATTCTGCAGAAGTGAAGAACAGCTCGCGGATATTTTTACCAAAGCACTGCCCAAAGACAGATTCAAGTATCTAAGGTCGAAACTTGGAGTTAAGCCAGTAAGCAGCTTAGAAGAGGCTGTTGAGAATTAAGCTACTTACTGAGCTTAATACAAACTGCAGATGACAATCCTGCAGATTGTTGCTCAGAAGAATGAAGAAATGAAGAACTGTTTTTTTAGGAAGCCGTTAGCTACTCTATTCTATTTTGGGATAATTCCTACAGCTATTTTTTGTCTTTTTCTTAGCTGTACTGAGATAGCAGATTCTAGCCTAGGTGTAAGAATCGTAGCCTCCAATGACCATGGATGGCTGGAGATGAGTCCTTGTATCCTAAATCAAGTGAAGCCACTCTGTACACAAGGTCCGATAGTGAAGGAGACTTGATCATTGTCTCAATCTATGTTGATGACATTGTCTATACTGGTAGCAGTGAGAGGATGCTTACTGAGTTCAAAAAAGAAATGATGCAAAGATATGAGATGTCGGATCTTGGACTTCTCCATCATTTTTTGGGGATGGGAATACTGCAAACTGATCAAGGAGTATTTATTCATCAAAGCAAGTATGCCAAATCCTTGCTTATGAAGTTCGGGCTTGAAGACTGCAAACCAGTCTCAATTCCTTTGCCTACTGGTGAGAAACTAAAAAAGGTGGATGGGAGTGAGTTAGCTGATGAAGGGCTCTACAGAAAAATAGTAGGAAGCCTACTATATTTAACTGCAACTAGACCTGACCTAATGTATGCAGCTAGCCTGCTATCAAGGTTCATGAATGGTCCTACAAAAAAGCACATGGGTGTTGCAAGAAGGGTTCTAAGATATGTGCAAGGGACTCTTAGCTATGGCATTGAATATGTGAGAAATCAGTCAGCAACTCTTGTTGGATTCTGTGATGCAAATTGGGCAGGCAGTGAGGATGATAGTAGAAGCACTTCTGGCTATGCATTTAGCTTTGGAAGTGGAGCATTCTCTTGGGCCTCTGTGAAACAAAACACAGTGGCACTATCAACAGCAGAAGCTGAGTATGTCTCAGCATCTGAAGCAACAGCACAGACCATTTGGCTAAGATTTGTTCTTGATGATTTTGGTGAAATGCAATCTGAGGCAACACCTTTGTTCTGTGACAATATGTCAGCAATTTCAATGGCCAAGAACCCAGTTTTTCATCAAAGAACTAGGCACATAAACAGAAGATACCATTTCATAAGAGAAGCTTTGCAAGAAGGTGTGATCAATATGCAATTCTGCAGAAGTGAAGAACAGCTCGCGGATATTTTTACCAAAGCACTGCCCAAAGACAGATTCAAGTATCTAAGGTCGAAACTTGGAGTTAAGCCAGTAAGCAACTTAGGAGAGGCTGTTGAGAATTAAGCTACTTACTGAGCTTAATACAAACTGCAGATGACAATCCTGCAGATTGTTGCTCAGAAGAATGAAGAAATGAAGAACTGTTTTTTTAGGAAGCCGTTAGCTACTCTATTCTATTTTGGGATAATTCCTACAGCTATTTTTTGTCTTTTTCTTAGCTGTACTGAGATAGCAGATTCTAGCCTAGGTGTAAGAATCGTAGCCTCCAATGACCATGGATGGCTGGAGATGAGTCCTTGTATCCTAAAATATAGGATCAGAGTATTTTGGCAGTATGTGTCATGCATATAGGCATGTTTTTCTGGCTCAGTTATAGACAGAAGAAATATACATTCTCATTCTCTATTCTTATTCTCTCTGCTTTTTCTCTCCTCTGCATACGTTGCTAACAAAAGGGTTTTGTTTGTTCTGATAAATCAATCAAAACCAGAAAGTTTTATACCAAAAATCAACACATGCTTCAGCAGAGTTTCAGTCGAAGGCATCTTTGATACTAATGAGCACGTAAGCAACTTCAAAACCTGAAGAAAGTGAAAAGATCATCAGAAACTAGCATTTCATTTCTTACTAGAAAATTAACTTTGTTGGTATAACAGATCATTTACCTCATCAACTCCTACATTGACTGTCAACTCCTCAATACTATTCCATCCCGTGAATCCGAGGTTCTTAACTAAAGAAGAGCTTGTAGAAGTAAATGGGAGCCTCACTTGTAAATCATCACTAATTATAAATCTGGCTGCACCTTTTACAAAGACCTCACCATATTCAGCACCAGACACTGGAAGGGTGGTCTCCGTATCCATTAGACGCTTACAACGTTGACAAGGAACCGTTTGGTAATAACTAAAAACAAGACTGCTCCGAAAATTTCTGCAATGTGGATTAGAACACGTAAAGTACCGCGTGGGTTCGCAATCTTCAAATTTCAGTTTGAGGTTGTCCAAGAGATATTCTGTCCAATTGCGGGGACGTAACAGCATGGCTCTACATTCTTCAGTTCGCAAAAGCTGTGAGTCAAAACTCTCCATACTTCCATATATGTTGTCCATGCAACCAATTCCCAAGGGTTGTGAACGATGGGAGTTAGGCGGCGCCTGGGCGCCCCAGCAGAAGCTGAGTATGTCTCAGCATCTGAAGCAACAGCACAGACCATTTGGCTAAGATTTGTTCTTGATGATTTTGGTGAAATGCAATCTGAGGCAACACCTTTGTTCTGTGACAATATGTCAGCAATTTCAATGGCCAAGAACCCAGTTTTTCATCAAAGAACTAGGCACATAAACAGAAGATACCATTTCATAAGAGAAGCTTTGCAAGAAGGTGTGATCAATATGCAATTCTGCAGAAGTGAAGAACAGCTCGCGGATATTTTTACCAAAGCACTGCCCAAAGACAGATTCAAGTATCTAAGGTCGAAACTTGGAGTTAAGCCAGTAAGCAGCTTAGAAGAGGCTGTTGAGAATTAAGCTACTTACTGAGCTTAATACAAACTGCAGATGACAATCCTGCAGATTGTTGCTCAGAAGAATGAAGAAATGAAGAACTGTTTTTTTAGGAAGCCGTTAGCTACTCTATTCTATTTTGGGATAATTCCTACAGCTATTTTTTGTCTTTTTCTTAGCTGTACTGAGATAGCAGATTCTAGCCTAGGTGTAAGAATCGTAGCCTCCAATGACCATGGATGGCTGGAGATGAGTCCTTGTATCCTAAAATATAGGATCAGAGTATTTTGGCAGTATGTGTCATGCATATAGGCATGTTTTTCTGGCTCAGTTATAGACAGAAGAAATATACATTCTCATTCTCTATTCTTATTCTCTCTGCTTTTTCTCTCCTCTGCATACGTTGCTAACAAAAGGTTCTGTGTTTGTTCTGATAAATCAATCAAAACCAGAAAGTTTTATACCAAAAATCAACACATGCTTCAGCAGAGTTTCAGTCGAAGGCATCTTTGATACTAATGAGCACGTAAGCAACTTCAAAACCTGAAGAAAGTGAAAAGATCATCAGAAACTAGCATTTCATTTCTTACTAGAAAATTAACTTTGTTGGTATAACAGATCATTTACCTCATCAACTCCTACATTGACTGTCAACTCCTCAATACTATTCCATCCCGTGAATCCGAGGTTCTTAACTAAAGAAGAGCTTGTAGAAGTAAATGGGAGCCTCACTTGTAAATCATCACTAATTATAAATCTGGCTGCACCTTTTACAAAGACCTCACCATATTCAGCACCAGACACTGGAAGGGTGGTCTCCGTATCCATTAGACGCTTACAACGTTGACAAGGAACCGTTTGGTAATAACTAAAAACAAGACTGCTCCGAAAATTTCTGCAATGTGGATTAGAACACGTAAAGTACCGCGTGGGTTCGCAATCTTCAAATTTCAGTTTGAGGTTGTCCAAGAGATATTCTGTCCAATTGCGGGGACGTAACAGCATGGCTCTTTTTATTTTTTGCAGTTTTTTTAAAATATCAAGGTTACTAAAAATACAAAAATAAACGTCAGATAATATCAAGGTTGGAAAATATTAAAGTTTTCTTTTATATATCTTATTATTTTGCATGATTTTGGTATAAATTTATAATTTATAATACAAAATAATTATTAAAAAAAAGGGTGCTTAGGCCCCGATTACTCCTCTAGGCTCTAGGCCCATGCCTGCCGCCCACCTACTGCCTACGGATTTTTCGAACTTATATTAAAAAAAGAAAAGCATATATATGAAAATGGTGTATCATAAAATACAAATGGGACATATAAAAATAAAATATTTTATTTTTATGAAATATTTTCATATGTCTTATGTGTATTGGATTGTACACCACACAATAGGGGCAGAGCTATAGCAAGGCCAGTCGTGGCCCTAGGCCCCCATCTTTTAATACTATGTCATAGAAGTACATTGTCAATACTACGTCATATAAATCAACTCAGTTGCAGGGTATGAACAGTATAAGAGTTGTTCATACCACTTACTGTAAGTTAACAACTGTTCATACCATTTACAGATAACAAATTGTATACTACAAATCAACTTACTAGCTAGTTGCAATTTACAAGAGTCATATATTAGACCCACAACCACCCAAAAAGTCAAAACCAGGATAAATCTAAGGACTCAGTAGAATTTCCCTGTGGTAATTTGACTTCAAGTGCTGCTCATCAAGATCTTTGACACATTTGTGCAACTGATCAATGCACCCTTTGAAAGAGGCATCCCTCATATACTTTACTATGAAACCAAGTGGAACAGTCAAAAAACTGAGGAGCAAATTAGCAAAATCCTCCCCTGCTTCGGGATAACAAACAATATCCTTTGAGACGCTAACTGTCAGCTTAACAACAATCCTTTCTTCTTCCTCCTCATTCATTATGTCTCCAAGTAGTAGAGATTCAATACTTGTCAATATTAGTTGATCAAGGCTCAAATTCGGATTTGGAATTGGTACAGGATCAAGTTTCAGCAAAATTTCAGACAGAGGTTTCTTTGATACTAATGAGCGCAGAAGCAAGTTCAAAACCTGGAAAAATAGACCATGAGGTCAAAAACCACAAACACTACAATTGTATTAAAAGAAAAATAAAACAATTGGCAAACAGCATTCAATTACCTCATGAGCTCCTATATTCAAAGTCCTTTGTTCAGTAGTGCTATTCTCATTCATGGCTCCAAGCTTTGTAAACACGGGATCGCTTGCCACCGATAACGGGGACATCATACGTAAATCAACACTCACTATGAACCTAGCTGATTCTTTTACAAAGATGCCCCCATCTTGCTCAACAGAGGATGAAACTGAAAGTGGGCACTTCACATTCATGCATCTTCCACATTGACACAGAACACCTTTGCAACTTATTTTTGAAGTTGCATTGCAAACTATCACACAGAAAGTACCTTGTCGGCTCATCATTGTCAATTTTCAGTTTGAGGTTTTCAGAATGAGATTCAGCCCCATTGTGGGGACATAGCAACATCTCTTTACATGCTTCAGTCTGGAAAAGTCCCCAAACACTGGCAGACAAATTATTCATGCAACGTGATACTAAATGTTTAGTGTCACGCTTGACAATTGCTCCCATTAGTATTGTCAAGAAACTCAAGAGAACATCAATAAAATCTTTATCAGACTCTACGAAGATAATTTTGTTGCTCCTCTTGTCCACCACGGCCTGCAAGCTTATAATATTCTTCACAGTTTTATCAGCCATTGATAATGTAAGAAAGTAAAAAGCAGTAAGTTGTTTTCCCGCTTAAACATGAAAGGAGTTCAAAATATAATTCAAGTAAGGCAAAAGAGAGACAAAATTTTGCAGAAATAATAGCTTGAAAAACAGGTCAGAGCTTGAGCAGATAACAAGTATATAATTCAAATCGAAAACCAGCGACCAACATTTCTATCAACATGGCTAGTCTGATCCTGAGTTACGTAGTCCATGAGGAGATTTTGATTGAATAATGTTTTGAGAAAGCTTCATGAAATTCACCAGTCTTTCTCACTAAATTTGCAGGTCGGCTTTTCCATTTCTGTTTTATATTGATCTATCTTCTGATTAAAGTGAAATTAATATAACAAGTGGGAAAAGAAAATTAGGCATTGATCAACAGGTTCTTCTGTGCAGGAAAGGAAAAGAGCTCTTTCAGTATGCAAGAAATTAATGGACAATTATAATGGAAAATGCCAAACAGCTCAACATCATAAGTACATTTAGAAAAGAAAAAAAGACATGGAATTCAAAGTTCAAACCTTTTTGGGTAAAATTGTCGAAGAAAAGGATGAAGAAAACACAAAGACTTAAAGAAAGGGCCTGCAGAAAGTAATATATGTAGAAAAAGATCATGAGTCTGGAAAGATATCAGAGGGAGGATCACTTGAGATGAGGTGCATGTTATGACCCTCCATCCATCCTTAACTTTTGAAAAGGGAAGCATTCATTACAGGAGAAGCATCATCATCTCTACACAGAGTTTATTGTGCTTGCACTGGCTGCCTAATGAAGACATCAGATAGAGCAGAGTCGCCAAGAAAAGAAACCACCAAAAGACACAAAGCCTGAAACAATTGAAGGTATAGCCGCGCGGCTATACTTGTTTTGACAAGTGAGAGCCTAAGTCCTAGGCGGGTCTCTTTTTTTCCTTATAAATCATATTGCCGCGCGGCTTCACTACAAAGTTTTTTTTACAAACATAGTATAGATGCACCGCTATACCTGTTTTGACACGTGGTCGCCCAAGCGCTAGGCAGGTCTTTCTTTTTTCTATAAGTCTTTCTTTTTTCTATAAATCGTATAGGCACGGTCTCGGATTTTTTCAAAATAGTGTAGCCGCTCGGCTTTACTACAGTATTTTTTTTTTAATTAGAAACACTACTACAATTTTCCCTTGTCCTGGCAACCCTCTATGGTTAGTAGAAACTCTATTACTAGCGGAATTTCGTCACTATTGGCTTCCTGACGAGTGCAGTGGCGAAAATGAGGGTTGTCAATAAAACTCTTGTCAGTACTACTATTACTGACCAACTTTTGCAACTTATTCGTCAATAAAGGTCTCTCTTTTTTTTTTTTTTTTGTGATAATAGCAAGTGAGCAACCACTCCGAGTCGTAGACTTGAACGGATTTGACTCTCCCCATGGGGTGTTTTTCACAAGGTGGGATTCGAACGCTGGACCTCACTGAGGTCAGCTAATATTCGCCCACTTGCAGGCCTAGCCAGGATATCCACTAGACCAAACCCCTTGGGTATAAAGGTCTCTCTTTGACACAAGTCATAAAAAGGACTCCAAATTATTACTGACAAAACAAGTTGCCAGTATTAAACAAGCTTTTGTCAAGATTATTGTCAATTTATTTGTGAGCTAATGCGCCATTAAATATGTTTTTCTTTCAAATGCCTTTTGTTTTGTAATATTATCTATACATTTTTCTTTCTATAAAAATGTAATTGATATACTAAAATTGTAATAATAATTAATATAAATAGTCAAAGATTGAACCATACAACAACGATCCTTATAAATAGGATATAAAGTCGATTACAATATTCAAACATTACAAAGGTCTGCCTACATCAGTAGAGTTCAAAAACTTCAATTGCCTAACCTATACAAAACTATGAAATATTCTACCAGTACTACAAAAGACCCATTGCCTTTGTCTGAATCCAAGGCACCTGATGGGGTTTCACCCCAAGTCCACCACGAACTCTATTATTTGTAGGGGTGAGCATTATAACCGAAAACCCGACCGAATCGCCCGAACCGGACCGCTTTAGGTGGTTTGGTTCGATTTTTATACTAAAAAATCAAAGAATTGGTACAAAAACCGCCCGAACCGGCTCTGAACCGGGTTGGACCGGTTTTTTTTCACTCCAAATCGCTGAAAACCGGACCAAACCGAGTATTTTAATTATATTATTAATTAAACAAAATAATGCACATGTCAGCGGATGATTAGTGGATTCATTGGCGTATCGTACTCCTTCCTACACCAGATTATGCGAAACCCTAACATCTGAAGGGCTTCGAAATGTTTTCATTCTCATTGCGCCTCTTTCTTCTTCCTCTGTCACCCGACTCTCTCGTCTCTGCCTCTCTGTCTCAATCCCACTCGCCTGACTCAGGCGGCCTGAGTCGCCTCTGCCTTTTTTTTTTCCAAATTTTCTCAGCCGCTCTCTCAGTTTCTCTCTCACCCGCTCTCTCTCATCACTCGACTCTCTCAGTGACTCGAGTTCCTCTTCTTTTTTTTTCCAGATTTTCTCACCCGATCTCTCAGTCACACACTCTCTCTCACCTGCTCTCTCTCAGTCATTCTCAGTCTCCCTCTCTCGAGTTTTGTAGGTTTGAGGTATGAATATGTGTAAACCCTAATTAAAATTTTTTAGGGATTTGACTATTTTTGTTAATTCTATTTATTTGATCTGACTCTGTTGTGATTTGTTGTGGACAGAATTGATTTTGGGATCATAGGAAACGATTGACTTGCTCTAGGTAATTTCTGGTAATTTCTGTTGTTGTTGCTGTTTGATTTATCATTTATTTCTGGTGTTGTAATTTTAAAGTATACTGTCATTTATTTCTTGAATTTCTTTGAACAATGCTGTTTGATTTATTTGTGTTTTTCAGTAGTTTTATTTGTTATTTTTTGTGGTAGTTTTATTTGTTATTTATGATTTCATTTCGGATTTTGAAAATTTGCATCATTCAATAATGTGATTTGGCAGATATTGAGTAATAATTTATGTTCTATGATTATTGTAATGTCACACTAAATTTGGTAGCAATTCACATAGGCTAAAGGCATAAATAAGAGGTTAGAACTTAGAAAAGTGGAATTATTAAATGATGTGATATTTGTATTTTGGTTGCTGCTTTGGCAGATATGCAATATTGATTACATGCTTATTGTTTTTGGTTATTGAAGCACCAAATATTTGTATTTTTGTAGGGTATTATTAATTTAATGGAAGCAGAATCTGAACCCCCTGTTTCAAGCAGAATCTGAAACCCCTGTTTCAACTAACCTACCACCACCAATAGCCCTTCCACAATCAGCCCCTTCACAATCAGCCCCTCCAAAATCAGCCCCCAGCACTTTAGGAAAAAGAAACCCTTGTAAGAATGCTTCGGGGGTTTGGGATCATTTCACAAAGATAAAGTGTGAGGATGAAACTAGTGAGTCTAGATGCATATGCAAGTACTGTAAAAAGGACTATGCATGTGATGGTAAAAGGAATGGTACATCCACTTTGTGGCACCATTTGAGAAGTCAATGTAAGAATTCTCCATTGAGACATGAGAAAAGACAAAAAGTCCTTTCATTTGAGGGCCAAGCGAAAGGGGGTAACCTAGTAGCACATGCATTTAGTAAAGAGAGATGTAGAATTGCATGTGTCAAGATGATTATTCGGGATGAGCTTCCGTTTAGTCATGTGGAGGGTATTGGGTTTCGTGAATTTTTGAAGGAGGCACAACCTAGATTTGATTTGCCATCTCGTACAACAATTGCTAGAGATGTGTGGGATCTCTATCAAGAGGGGAAAGCTAAAATCAAGAGTGTCTTAACACATAATGCACAAAGAGTCTCTCTTACCACCGACACTTGGACGTCCATTCAAAATATCAATTACATGGTTCTCACGGCCCACTTCATTGATGATGATTGGCAACTTCATTGGATTGGGATAATACAAAGGTATTTGTCAAATTTTTGAAGAAGTTTTATGATGCTACTCTGAGGTTTAGTGCATCAAAAACCGTGTCTTCTAATGCCCCACTCCATGAGATATGTTCTTTTTTGGAGGAGATAGACACAATGATGAATGTTGATGATGTTGTTATGTGCAAAATAGCAATAATGATGAAGAGAAAGTTTGATAAATATTGGGGAAATGTGAATAACATCAACAAGTTATTCTTTGTTGCGGTTATTCTAGATCCTCGATACAAGATGGAATATGTGGAATTTTGCTTGGGTGACTTGGTGTCCGATGAAAATGGGGTTAATGACATGTCATTGGAGATCAAGACACTTTTACACACTTTGTATGATTACTATAGAAAACAAAATCCAGTTGCTGCCCAAGTTTTTCATGCTAGTGAGAGTGAAGGATCATTGCATGTGAACAATGATGTTACTAAATCATCAAGGTTACAAAAGTTCTTGAAGTCAAGGAGAGATAAGGATGTTGTTGAGATAAGAAATGAGATTGATAAATACCTATTGGAACCTCCCGTGAATCTTACCAATGATGAGTTCAAATTGCTTGATTGGTGGAAGGAGAATGCTACAAAATTTCCAATACTTTCCAATGTTGCTAAAGATGTATTTGCTGTCCAAGCATCAACTGTGGCTTCGGAATGTTCTTTTAGCACGGGAAAGAGAGTTGTAGATCCCTTTAGGAGTTCATTAACTCCAAAAACCGTGGAGGCATTGATTTGTTGTAGTGATTGGTTAAGGGCGGATGAGTTTAGCTACTACAAAGAACCCGCATTGGAGGAGTTAGATTTCTACCAAGCTTTGGAAAAAGTGGAAAAAGGTTTTCTTTCTTTTTTACATTAATCATAATTTGTAGTTTATTTGTGTTATTAATTCATATGTTTACTAATTGTTTTTTCTTTCTTTATGCAGAGGTGCAAATCTGATTTGAATATGAAACAACTCATGGAATTATATGTGTATATGTAATGGACATTTATTTGATTTTATTTGGATTTTATTTTGAACTTTGCAAATATGCAAATTGTGATTGAGATTACTCTCACAATTTGCTATGGACTGTAATAATAATTTCTGTATTTGGAGATGTGTGGTGGATGATGATTTGCTATGGTTTTAAGGTTTTTTTTAAGTATTTGAGTGATGAAAACTGTATATTTGCAGAGTTGGAGAATCTGGAAAAACTGTACAGGAACTATGAAAACTTGAATTGTTGAAATTTGACCAAAAAAACAGATTGGGCCTGGAAAACTTATTTTTTTAAAAACCTTCAAATGTGGCATCTGTTGGGCCTCAGCAAATACCCGAACCGACCCAACCAGACCCGCCCAATTCGATTTTCGACTTAAATCGAAAATGGGCCTACAAAAGAGGTCCACAGTTAAGCAATTGGGCCTGCCGACAAGGCCCAGTTCGGCGTGCGGTTTGGGCCCATAACCAACCCAACCCGACCCGTGTGCAGCCCTAATTATTTGTCTCAAGACCCATTGCCTCGACATAAGCCCTTCTTCGTGTCTCTAAATTATCAGGACATTCATCTTCAATTAATCCCTTCAACTTTTCCTGCATTTCAGCCTAACAAAAAAAATTATATATATTCAGTTTATCTTTCTCCATCCAATTATGGTCATCATAGAATAAGCAGCCCAATAAACTCTACAATGAATTATGTATTAAAAACATAGGACAAAAATCTTCTGGACCTCTACATTTCTGTTTTTCATATACTTGAACAAATAAAATAACATAAAGAATAATGAACAAGAAAACATAAATGAATAAAACTACCTTTAAAAAACTTTCTAGATGCTTAAACAAATAACAAGTCAACCAAAACAAAATAAGAGAACAACTCAAACATATATAAAAGCCCAATACTCTCATTACTACGAACAATTTTATTCAACAATAATCAAAGAACAACTATATAATAGAAAAGGGTAAAAGGGAAACAGACTTGGATTTTAAGTTTCCAAAAAACATTCAACAATCTTGCAATAGATAAACACATACCCACAAATCAGACTCATGAAACAAGCAAAAGAAATAGGAACACAAGTCTCACCAGAACATGGGCCTTCTTTCAAGAAGAAGGACCAAATCACCCACAACTGAAAAGAGCAAAGAAAACTCCCAAATTTAATCCCCCTGTCAATTTGAACCAGCATATACTTAAATCACTACCACAACATTCCTCCAACTCCAATAGCTCGAAGGAAGAAAACAATTCTTCAATGGAAAAACAAAAGAGAGGAAGGAAGGAGGGGAGACTGAGTGACATAGAGAGCAAAACCCAAAAAACAAAAGAAAAAAATAGAGAGAAGATATGGTTTGTTTGGAGTAGAGAGAGTTTTTAGAGTTACTTTTTTGTAACCAAAAAGTAAAAAAAAAAATTATATTTAAGTCTAGTAGTGGCAAAGCAACTCGTCAGTGATAAAATTTGGCTTCCCGCTATCTAAAAATTTGGGTGCCTGATGTTTTCGCTCCCCACCCTTGAAGCTGTTGGCACTGTGGCTCGCCAGTAAAATTAGTAATGACGAAAGACTTCACCAGTATCATTTAGTAGTGGCAAATCACTTTACTTAGTCAGTAATGGGTTCTAGTACTGGCTGAAATGCTCCTTCTCCAGTATTAGGTTGTCAATACAAGCTAAAATTGTAGTAGTGAAAATTGCATAGCCACTTGGCTATACCGTTTTTGGACATTTTTTAACATGTGGGCACCTAATCGCTAGGTGGGCGCCTAATCACTAGGCGGGTCCCCTTTTTTTTCTATAAATATTCTATTTGTTGTTTAATTAAATTATTAGAATAATATTGATTGATGTTCCTCAAACAAGTTTCACTCGAGAGAATGAGCTAGATCAAAATCAAACATACCCACAAAAAAATAAGAAGAAAAAATTGAACTCTCAAAATTACTTTGAAATTTCTCTCTCTTCAATATTTGCACTAGATATGTTGAAACTAGCCAATGAATATTAATAAAGTATAAACTAATGCAACTAGGAGGGTACTTTTATTATTATTATTTTTTTAAATAAAAAATATATAATATATTTAAAATACATATGTACTTGTATAATACGAGTATTAAAAGTGAAAATGCTAAATTCTTTAGGGAGATTCACTATTATACCCAATATAGGAGCCTAAATTATTTATCAATAAAAAAATAAAAAAGACCCTACATGAAATGGACTTTGGAAACACACCCAAAGCCTATTTATAACATACCCAAAACACTAAATAGGGCATCAAAGTAATTCAATAATCAAAATTAAATTCAATAGGGCCAGCTATCATTTTTTGGTTTGTTTATAGAAATTAAATAGTGTAGGGTTTATTTATAGTTTTAGTGCTATGAATGAGTATATGACTAAATATCTCAATTCTTTATATGTGTAATAACTCTGAAAAAGTAAAGACTCAAAAGGGGATAATAAAGACTCGGGTAATGGCCTAATAGTAATGGATAATGCTCTAAACTATCAATAAAAAAAATCGAGGAAAAACAATTTTTTAAAAAAAGACAATAGTAATCGTGTAAAAATAGTATAGCCGCACGGCTATACTCTGTAAGGATATTAGAAGGTGTAGTTGCGCGGCTATAATATTTAGAAATAAAAACAAATAGAGGACCCGCCTAGCGGGGAGTGGCGACGTGTCAAAAACAGTATAGCTTTTTAAATAAAAATCGTAGTATATTATAATTAAAAGAATATTATAATATAATTATAATTAAAAGAAGTATAGCCACACGGCTATAATATTTATTAAAAAACATTTATAAACAAAAAAAAAAAAAAAACCCTTCTAGTTGCATTAGTTTATACTTTATAGATATTAATTTGCTAGTTTCAAGATATATACTTTATAGATTTAAATGTTTTTAAATATATTATTTTTATTCAATATTATGCAAAAATTATATGTATAATACACGAATTTTATGTGTATTATTGAAAATTTTGTAAAAAACTAAGGATATTAAACATGAAAAATACATACATATGTACACAATATAAGTATTAAAAGTGAAAATACTAAATTCTTTATATGGGTCATAACTCTGGAAAAGTAAAAACTCAAAAGGAGACAATAAAGACTACGGTAATGGCCTAATTGTAATGGATATGTTAACTTGTAATGGATGGTAAACCTAACTATCCCTAAACCCTAAATTATCTCTAAACCCAGGTTCGAAACCCCAAGGGGTTTCTTTCCTCCCAATGTAACCAAAAAAGGAAAAAATATCTTTTTCTTCTTTTCGAGTACGAGGAGACTAAAAGTCACTAAACCAAAAACACCAACCGAAACATTACACATACTGAATTTATTACAAAGACCTTCACTGCATTGAAACAAGAAGACTAATATATTGACAATATTATTTTCCTTCATATTCTTTTCCTTCAAGCATTCTGAAACCGGAACCAGCATTGATGATAAACATGCTAATCAAGGTCTGCCTTGTTAACAACATTTTTTCATGGCGTCACAATTCTGCCATCGACAATAAAATTTCTTAAAATCTAGACATTTTTAGACCTATGTTAACTTTTAAGACTTACCTTAGGATAATTGCACCAAGAAGTAAAATAAATAAATAAAATCCACAATAAAAAGCTAAAACTACAATGCAGTTATGGGAACAAAAACTTCTGGCAAAAAATAAACATATTAATAAGTGAGGAACCAAAATGCAAAACCATGATGAAAGTACTAAAACGGAAACGAAAACTCAAGTTTCCATTTTCTACAATGCAGTTTTCGCTTTCTGCATTGCAATTTCTGATCAAGTTGCAACCTCACTAACAAAAAGAAAAAAAAAAAAAAAAAACCAAAAGGCAAAGCCATCATGAAAACAAGCAACTGAACAAAGTCAAAAAGACATATCCATTGATGACACAATTGTATAATTTCCATTGACTTCAAAAATCATACAAATATCCAATGATAAAACAATTTAGCCAATTGTAATTAAATGGAAACTGCATTGCAGTGTGTAAAACTGCAATCCAGTGTGTGCAAGACTGCAATGCAGGCCTAAGCCAAAAATAGAATAGAAAACTAGGTATCAGGATCAAGAGGCTTACAACAGAGTATGGAAGTCAAACAAATGCAAAACCATGGCCAAATTAAGTAAACAGGTAATGAGAATAGATAAATAAGGATAAAATATGAACCAAATGGTATCCAGTACACATCATCAGATCAGAAATAGACATTCAGAACTTAGAAGTTTTCTGTCACTGTTTTCAGAAGAAGAAATAATGATAAAAGATTCCAGTAATCACAATGTTGAAATCCACAACACCAAACACTAAAAACACTAACAACTTTCCATTTTGACGACAATTAGCATGAATCCAACAGGAGAGCAATTACACAAGATCAAACTCATTATCAACAAAGGATAAAACACAACCCTGTTACTAGAGCTCTTATTTAGTTTGCAGAGAAAAGAAAAGAGAGAAGAAAACGAACAAGAATGCACCAGATCACATTCTATACTCACAGAGATCAGTTAGTTGCAAGCAACAAATATTAAAAACCTCTGTTTGATTACCGAACAAGAAGTTTGATTTCATACCACCAGATATTGATCCCCACCGATCAAAAATCCAATGAAAAATAAGAATCAGAGTTTCCATTCCCACGTATTAAGTAGATGAATGAAATCAAATTCAAAGCAGCATATTGAAAGTAATCACTCACAAAAATTATCTGCACTGATTCCCTACAAGTGAATACATTCACAATTTTACAAATACAACAGGAACCCCATACACACAGACCAAATCCTAATCACACAGAAGGCCAAATCCTAATTCCATTATGTCCACATAATCATATCAAAACTTCCACTAATCAAGAAAAGATCTACATATAAACGTACACTAAACTGCATTGAAAGCCAAAGATATTCAAGAGTGGATAGTTAAGGCATAAATAAATCCAATCTCAATACATTTCATTAGTTTGCAACCCTTTGCAGAGATACAATATACTAAATATTTACATTGCCATTGGGGAGGAAAGAAACACCTCTCCCTAGTGTGTATTACAATCAGACATACCCATACCAATTTTGCATCTTGATAACATACGCTATTATTCAAAATGCAGTTCAAAGAGTGAATGAACATCAGTCCCCAACAGATGCACAATCAACCAACAAAAAAACCACAAATCAAAGAGAAATTTGGATCCCAACTTTAAGCATTACCATCAACTATTCTCGAGTAGTTATTTATTTATGAACAACAGCAGGGCGTCTAGAGTATGCAGCAACGTGGCATTTGGCAACTCAAGAGCTGCAATCACGACACCGAATCAAACCATTTTCATTGCACTCAGGGCACCTCTTGAGCATCCCTTCATCTTCATCAAATACCTTCCTACTCCCACTGCAATTCATGCAGGGCACGAACCGCGCATCCCCACAACCTTCACACACAAACCCGGGTTTCCGAATAGGAATCCCTTGAAGAATTTTCGCCAATTCCCCAGTCTCAAACAGCTGTTTGATCACCTCAGCACCTCCCACATACTTTCCCCTTATAAATACTTGTGGCAAACTCACATTCTTCTCACCCAAAACGCTCTGCAACTCTTTCCTATAAGCCGAATCCATAGATATATCTCTTTCATCAACCCAAACCCCAAACCCCTTGAATATCATCCTCACAGCATAACAATCCTCATATGTCCTCCGAATCCCTCGCAAACTCGTGAAATACACCACAATTCGATCATCCGTGCCTGGCAACCGAATCGACAGAATCCGAAAATCTGGCGCCATGGATTTCGACGGCGCCATTGACTTCGAGGGTCTTAGCTTGACATTAATCAGGGATTGCGATTCATCAGGATTTCGCGACCCAGGTTTCTCCGATTCGAAGAAACTGCAGAGCTTCTTGACCTTCCCTTTGAAGGAACTGCTGGCGGAACGCACCGTCTCGATGGAATTGTAGAATTTCTTGAAGGAATTTGTGTGGTGATCGAGCGAAGCATGGAAATGGGGCTTCTTGGGAGCATCCATGGGGGTAGGGTACATGCTAAGCGATCGATTGAAGAACAAGGTGGGTTTGGGCTTACCCGACAATTCGAGCCTATTTTCAAGATCCGCCATCGACCCAGATGAAAAATCACCGGGAATTTGAATTAATTGAGCTCCTTTTTGGTGTTCTTCAACCCTAGGGTTTAAATTCAAATTCGAATTCGATCAAGAAATGAACAGAATTGACCGTACAAATTAGGTCTAACGAGAAATGTTGAAAAAATGAATTGATCGGAATAAAAACAGACCGTTGGATTGCAGAGAAGGGCGGTGGAGGTGACGGTGGAGGATTGTGAGATTATAGGTAGGTAGGTAGAAGATGAGGGAAATTGGGTTTGTTGCTTTTTTGTGCTGTCAAAAGCGAGTGTTTTTTTGGTTTTGTTTTTTTATTCAGTTTTGTTTGTTGTGATGAGAAAACGTGGAGAGCTCTCTCTCCTCCTCCTCCTATGGCTGCTTTTCAAAGGGAGGCTTTTTTTTATTATTATTATTTTTTTTTGGGTTTTTGGTTTTGATAATAACAAAGCTAAGGCAGTTTGATTATGTCTGTTTTGTTGGAAGAAAAAAAAAAAAAACAGAATTTATAGTGTTATTATATGGAGAGAGAATTGGAAAAATTATTTTATTTTTTAGAGAGAGAGAGAGAGAGTGCTTTTCTTGACTTTAGCCTTGGATTTGTTGATTGCTGACATGAGGGCCCACCGTCTTGCTTTGATTTAGAGACGCGGTAATCCAGCAAAAACATGATTAATTACGCGGTTATTTATTAATTCCTTGATTGAAGTATTTTATTTATTTTCATGTCAAAAAGTTTTATTTTTTTATTAGCTGAGTACCAGAATATTTTGTCACTAGTTGCTCTGTCCCTGTGTATCTTTATGTCATGGTGTAATTCCTGTTATGTTTCTCCTGCATGTGCTGCAATGTTTTTAATTTATAATAGAAATCCTTGAACATTACTCACAAATCCCAAGCATAGACTTTATTATGGTCTTTTCTAAATTGAAATGTTTAATGATTTATTTAGATGAAATGATTTAAGATGAGGAATTTTGGGTTTTAGATTTTTATTTATTTATAGTGTAAACTGCTTAAATTGACATTGAAATTATATATAGAACCATTGTGATTTAAATCCATGAAAAGTAAAAACATTTTGATGTTATCAGTTTTGAAAAGCTACATATATTATTAACTACTAGAATATGCATTTTAGTTTACATGGTCAATTATCTGCACATAAATTTTTAGATAGTCTAATGTGTTATGTTATTGTACAATCAATCACCAGTCAATTATAATGCTAAGAGATGATTGCTCATTATTTAAAATCAAATAATATTAATTCAGCCAACGGGATCTAGTCCAGTGGAAAATGGCTTTGACTTGCATACTAGAAGTTTCATGTTCGAACCCCCATAATATCTTGATGTGTGTATGTGTGAGAGAAACTCCCCTCACTGTAATTTAGATTATCGCTTATACTCAAAAAATAATATTATTTCTAAAAACACAAAGGAATTAAAAAATATTACTTTTGGGCCCCGTTTGGTTCATGAGAAAGGAGGCTTAGGGATGGGAAATAAATTGTTTTCCCATGTTTAGTAAGTTTAGACATGGGAAATTGTTGTCTTGCACATGAGAAAGTAAGAGGAAAATGAAGCCCTCCTGCCCCTTAGGTTTTGTTTTCCCTCATAGGAAAGTTCGAGAAAATGAGCCAATATTAAATGCACATTTTTCATGACTATTTTGTCCCCATTGACAATTTAGAATTGCAATATTTTATTAGATACATTTTTTTAAAAATTTTATTTAATATAAGTATAATTGGAAAATTATACAAACTTTGTTTTCCATTCCTACTCAAAACAAACATGAAAAAGGAAAGAAAGTGATATCTACCGGTTACTTTCCCAGCATTACCAAATATGATAAATAAATCTTCCATTTCTCATCCCTTTAAAAATAACATGGGAAGTGATTTCTCCTTAAATCTATTTCGTAAACCAAATAGGGTTTTGGTTTATAAAAATGTATCAATCATAATGCTGTAGGGATTTAGTGGGTTGTCCAATCTTATCCCACTTTATTGACTTATTTATTTTGGTGGTGAGTAAGGGTGGACTAAAATTTATTAGGCCTCAATAATGGATCCAAAGTTTGTGAGATCATCATCATGAGGTCTTGATCATCAACACATCAAACCAAAATGACCATTAAAAAAAAAAAGTAAAGTAATTTTAATGATGGGCATGGGAAGGGTTAAGCCCAGCTAGCCACTAGCTACACAACAAAGGAGTCAATTCTCAGCTACAAAGGGATTATTATTTAATTATTTCTTTTTAAAATGATTCGACAGTTTGACATTGTTGTGTTGTGAAAATAATCGATGTTAGATTTGTTGTGAGAGAAATCAGCTGTGAAAGAAAGCAGTTTTGCGTTTGGTAAACTTTTTGTTCAAAATGTTGTTGGTACTGATTCTCGCATAATTTAAAAATGATTCCCACATAATCATTAAACCCAGCGCCTCTTCGAAACTGATTCATGCATAATCAGAAAATAAAAGCACATCATTAGCTGTTTTCTCTTATAATTTTCTCTCACATCAATTTTTAACAATAAGTGATTTTTTCATAGTTTACCAAACGGGCTGGGCTTCCCAAAATTTTTTAAAAATCACTTATCATCCCAAATAAGCTATGTCAAACGGGCACTTAAACAGATTTTATTATTTTTTAATTTGAACTCTGCTGAATTTTTTAAGATAAAAGGCATACAAGGAACGAAGGCTTGGTTTAATGGGCCATACATGACCCCACTGTATCCCACTCTATGGGCCTCAAGCCCTCAGCTAAATGTAACACATGGCCCACTGTATCTCCTCATTCTCTTTAGCCATTATCAAATTCTCTTCTTTTCTTTTTTTTTGGGTGGAAAGCCATTATCAAACTCAATGATGGTTTATTTACCTCGAAGGCACGAATAGCTCTATTTGATTTATTAAATAAATTATTCGATAAAGCTTGAATTAGTTGAGTTGAGAAAGGGCATCTAACCTACATAAGTTCATAAATAACTCTACAATACTAAAACTCTAGAAACTCTGATGGATAATCCGTTCAAAATACTAAAATAACCCTACAAAAGCAAAAAACTCTGATGGTAGTATTATAATTTTTAGGTTTCCCAAAACTTGTATGATATATATATGGAAAACCTAAAAATTATAATACTACCATCATAGTTTTTTGCTTTTAAAATCATAATGCAAGGATAATAATTGTATTTCACACATCATTCAAATAATACAGTTGGTCCTTTTCGGTTTTTTTTCTTCAATTTTATAGGTTTTAGTGTATATATATATAAAACCATTGCTTAAATGTCAGAATGGTCCATGTGTTTTACCCATTCGGCTAATTTAGTCAATGTATTTTTAATTTGGCTAATTTAGTCCATATGTTTACATCTGTTAGCCAATGTAGGACAATCTGTCAAATAGACGTTAAAATGGACATGTGTATCGCACAATACATGAGTGGACATAAAGGTATTTTAACACATAAACCCAAACCTTCGCGACTCTATTCCTTGTGTTTACATCTGTTGTGTTCATGAGAATTCAGGGATGTACTTGGGAACAAGTTCATGTGAATATGTAATTGGAACATATGAAGTTCTCTTAAAGTTCTTTCTTGATTTATTTATTAGATTGATTCTATTAAAGTTCTTTCTGGAACAAATTAAGTACCTCACACAATACCAAATACCAGTCATCACTATCACACAAACAGAGCACTCTTGACAAGCCAAGTTGATCCAGGGACGACCTTCAGTGCCCACCAATTCTTTAGTTTTTTTTTTATTTTTTACAGTGGACGTTTCATTTCATGCCAGCTTTTTTTTTTCCTCTGAACTTTACAAACCAATTAGTGCTAAGAAACAATTTTTATAGATATGTAAAAATGTATTAGATCCAATATACTCAGGTCACAAAAATTGTGGCTTCAAATAGAGCTTGGCATAGATTCACCTCTTTGAAACCTTTGCTAAGAAGAAAACTTGAAGCTTGGTGGTCATCATCTATTGAACTCCATAAATTCAAACGTTGGGGTGGTTTTGGTTTTGAAATCTCTACCTAGTTTTCGGTTTTGAAACCTGGGTTGTTTGAGCCTCTATCAGATTCGATTAGTCTGCGTGCTATCTTTATGCAGACTCACGTGTGATTGATATTCAAGGGAACTAATTGAATTTGAAACCCCAAATTCTCATGAACACAGTTGTTTTGTCAGAGAATTTGGTGTTTCATGAGAATTTGGGGTTTCAAAAGCTAGCGACTCTGATTTAATTTGAGAGTCAGAGTCACAAGCGTTTAAGCGTTTCGGTTTATGTGTTAAAATATCTTTATGCCCATTCACGTGCAATGTACATGTCCATTTTAACGTCTATTTGACAGATTGTCCTATATTGGCTAACGAACTAAATTAAAAACATAGGGATTAAATTGGCAGAATGGATAAAACACATGGACCATTTTGACATTTAAGTCTAAAATCATTGCAACAAATGGGGTTTATTACAAATTTACCAAAATAAATCATATATAATTTGGAAATTGTACTAATGCATCATGATCCTTTCTTAACCTTTTGCATATATATATATATATTTTCCTTATAAGTTGTTTTTTCTTTATTAATTGTGAATTGATTAAATAAATCATATATCTTGGAAATTGTACTAATGCATCATGATCCGTTCTTAACCTTCTCCATATGTTTATTTATTTTTTTTTTTGGATAGGTTATTTTTTTCTTTATTAATTGTAAATTGAACAAATAAATCACATATATTTTGGAAATTATACTAATGCCTCATGACCCTTTCTTAAACTTTTCCATCTGTTTCTTGTTTTATTAAGGTGTTTTTATTATTTATTAATTGTGAATTTATTAAATAAACTTTTGGATTAATTTAAACTTTTGAATTTATTTTAGGATTGTATCGTCCCTATTAATGGCACACATATTCTAGCAATCGTAACGGAACATGATATAAGCAACTATTATAATCGTCATACAATAATATCACAAAATGTATTAGCACCTTGCAACTTTGATTTGGAGTTCATATATATTCTTAGTGGGTGAGAGAGTTCAGCTCATGATTCAAGAGTGCTAACAAGAAGAAATGTACTTAAAGTCCCACAAGGTATATGTAATTATTTTATTTTTAGTTTACATTAGGTCATACATTGGATACTATGGTATTGATTTTCTATACATTTAGTATATGTATTTTTTGTCAGGTAAATATTTTTTAGTGGATTGTGGATTTCCAAATCGACGGTAATTTTTGGCTTTGTATTGAGGTGTTAGATATAATCTCCAAGAGTTTGCTGGTCAAGGTCGTGA